AAAATAAAAAAAAAAAAAAAAAAAAAAAAAATAATATTTAACAATTTATACCCATTTGTCATTATTATAATTTTTGTTCTCTATTTTTTAAATATATTTAAATTCTTCTTCATCATTTTTGTTGTAATCATCAATAGCTATTTTAAAATTTTGTTTATCATATATATTGTCTTGTTTTGTATCTAGGCATATTTTGCTTTTTAAAGAGGAATTTATTAAAATTGTTTCTAATTTAATTAGTTTAGATTTAATATAATCAACTAATGAATTAAATGCAATTTTAGAATAAGAAAATGTCTGTTTTAGCATAAATAATTTTAATGGTAATGTTGTATGATAAATATTGCACCATATATTATAAACAAAAGGATTCCAAATAATCTCACTACTTAACAAATATAAAAAACATTGATAAAAAGAATCGTTGAGAATATAGAAGGATGATAATAAAGAAAAAATAGTAAATAAATTTATGCAATATCCTTGATCCAATAATTTATTAACCAAAAGTGTTATAAAATTACAATTTTTATAAATATAATCAAAAGTAATATTAAACTTCTTAAAATAAATATTTTTTAATATTTCCTTATTATTTCTTCTAATATCATTTAATGCATTAATAGATATTAAAAAATTTTTATCATCAACTTCACTTGGTTTCAACATTATTGTACCCTCTGGCAAATCTAGATATACAAAACATTTTAAAGGATCACTTTTTTTATTTATGTAAAAATTCCATTTCATAACATAATTATTATTTTTCATTTCTTTTTCTTTTTTTTCATAATTTTTCTTCATAGTTAAAATTTCATTCGTTAATTTTATTAATTGTTGATTTATATATTTTTCAATTTTAATTAAGCTTACATCGGTGTAATCATTACTTTCATTGTTATTATCTATATCGTTTTTATCTTTATTATTATTAGTACTAGTATTAACTTTATTTATCTCATTTTCATTTTTGAAAATTTTCTTATTTTTGTGTGTTAAAACACGATCTAAATCAATTAAATAACATTTAATAAATTTTCTGATATTGTTAAATGGAAAAATTAATTCACTTAAGGCCTTACTTTGGAAATTGATGTTACATAATATATTATTGTTTTCTTTATAATTGAGATTAAGGATGTTAATTATCTTTTTTTCAAAATCATTCTTATTTTTAAAAACATAGTTTTTTTTCTTTTTTAAGAAGAACAGCTTATGTTCAATATCTTTATTTCTTTTAATACATACATTCTTTCCATTATTAATTTTTAACTGAGTTTTATAGTTTAATGAACTTTTTCCTGCTTTTATTTTACAAAGTAAAAAAAAATAAAAAAATAAAACCAACAGAATAATGCTATTATTAGAATATAAAATCATAGCAATTACTTATTTTAATATTTTTTTTTTTTTTTCCATAATTTTTTTCATTATCAAAAGAAATTTTTAAAAATTCGAGTTATATCTTAATCATATCATCTAAAATTTAAGATAAAACAAAAAAAAAAAAAAAAAAAAATATATATATATATATATATATATATATATTTTTTTTTATTTTTCCTAAGATAATATTTACTTTGAATTTCTTAAAATATAAATTATTAGACTAAAAATTATATTTAATAAAACATATTCCTATTTTAATAGTTGTGAAAAATTGTAATTAAGTGATCAAAAGGGAGAAAAAAAAAGGAACAAAAAAATACACTTTATATATGCTTTGAATACTTTCATTGAATAAAAATATTTTAAATTTGTTATAAAAAATAAAATAATTTTTACATATTTTTATTAAAATCTTTAATTTAATTTTATATCAACTTTTTCAATTGTTTTAAAATCTTTAAGATATTTAAGTTTTTTTTTTTAAACATAAACATTTTTCATTTTTATATGTATATATTATATACATTTATATATGAGCACATATCTTTTTTAACGGATATCATAACATCAATTTTATATTTATAATTTTTAATTAAAATTTCGGCGGAATAAAAAAAAAAAAAAATTCATAAAATTAAATATAAAAATTTTTTAAAATAAAAGGATGTAATTTTTAATGTAAACAAAAATAGAAATATATAAAAAAAAAAAAAAAAATTTGAAATTATAAATATAAAAATTGAATAAAAAAAAATAAAAAATGCCAAAAAGTTACAGAAATCATTCAAAAACAGCAAGAAATCCTAAACGTCCCTTTGAAAAAGTAAATATAAAAAAAAAATTTATTCTTTTATATTATATATATATATATATATATATATATATATTTAAATAAATATGTGTTTATGTTTTCTTAATGTTATATATATAATTCTTCCTTATGATTAATATTTTTATTATAAATTTTATATTACTTATATTTGTATAGTTTTTATATTTATTTAAATAATTATATTTTTTTTTTTTTTTTTTATGTACATATTTTATTTTAATGTATTACTATTTCTTTTGTTGAAATATTAGGAACGTTTAGATCAGGAATTGAAATTGATTGGTGAATATGGTCTTAAAAATAAAAGAGAAATATGGAGGTTAAAATTTGAAAATATTATTGTATAATTTTTTTGAATAATTTTTTATAAATTATATTTTTTTATTTTTTATTTTTTTTTATTACTTATATAAATTCTCTGTGTGTGAAATACATTTATATAAATTTATTTTTTTTTTTATTTCATGTTCATATTTTAGAGTCCAATATTTGTTAGCAAAAATTCGTTCGGCAGCTAGATATTTATTAACGCTAGATGAAAAAAGCCCAAAGAGAATTTTTCAAGGAGAAGCTTTATTAAGAAGAATGGTTCGTCAAGGTTTATTAGGAGAAAATGAAGAAAAATTAGATTATGTATTAGGTTTAACTTTGCCTAAATTATTAGAAAGGAGATTACAAACAAAAGTATTTAAATTGGGTTTAGCAAAATCTGTACATCATGCTAGAGTATTAATTAGACAAAGACATATTAGAGTAGGTAAACAGATGGTTGATATTCCATCCTTTTTAGTTCGTGTAGATTCAGAAAAGCATATCGATTTTGCTACTACTTCTCCATTTGGTGGTGCTAAACCAGGAAGAGTTAAGAGAAAAACTTTGAGAAATCAAAAAGAAAAAAATGAGACAGAAGAAAATAATTAAATGTATCAACAACGAAAAAAAGTTATATAAACCTATATATTATCAAAAGACTGTGTTATATTAGGAAATTGTATATATATATATATATATTTTTTTTTTTTTTTCATTAACAAAAATATAACAAAAAATTTATGGAAAAATAAAATAACATATATTATGAAAAAACACTTTTTTTTTCTTCATTAACATAGAATTTATATTTAATTAAAAAGAAATAATTGTAATTAAATATATAATTTATTATTTTAAAATATTTTAAGGTATAATTAAAAAAAAAAGTTCATTTTATTCAAGTTAGTAACAAAATAAGCAATTAATATTTATATAAAAATTTTTTAAAGACAAATTAAAATCTTGAATTATATATTATATTTTTTTATTGATATACAAATATAAGAAATTAAAATAATATTAAGATTAATTAATAAAAATGTATATTTAAAAAAAAAAATAGTACTCTTTTTTCATTACTGAATGTGTCATGAAAATTTTACAAATAGCTATTTTTCATTTCGTAAACTTTATTACCATTTTTAATTTTGTAATTTTCCTTTTTTTCCTTTATATATATATATATTTTTTCAAATTTAAATATTTTTTTAAAAAGGAGAAAATAAAAATATTGTATTGAAAAATATAGTGCTTTTATAATTTATTTAAAGAATCAATTAAAAACAATTATATGTAACATACGAAATTAATATAAAGAATGTACTTTAAGTAGAACCAGTTTTTATCTTTTGTTATAAAAAAATTTAAAAGATAAATTTTTTCTTTCATTCTATCATGTATTATTTTAAATTTTAAGGAAATCTATGTGTCATTTAAGTAAGAAAAATTTACAAAGAGTCAATAAAAAATGTTCATGCAAAAAAATAAAATACAAAAAAAATTATTTATATAATAATTTATAAAAATTATAAATAAAAGGCCTTCTAATAGTATATATATATATTAAACCATTATACTATTTAGTATATTTTTATGGAAACATATATATATATATTAATTTTTTTTCTTTTTTTTTTTTTTTTTTTTTTTTTTTTTAATGTATTTGTTATGTATTTATTTTATTTTATACAAATTTTATTATATAATTAACTTTAATATTTTAATTTCATTTTATTTTATTATTCAGGATGAACTTTATATAATAAAAACTTTATTATTTTTTATTTTTTCTTTTATTTAAAATGTGAATATGTTAATATTAGTTGATAATTTTACAATAGATGTGTAAAAGAAAAATATTAAGATTAATTGCTTAACAATTTTTTTGTATATTCTTAAAAAAAAAAAATTAGAAACATAAAGAATATTAGAAATGATAAATATAAAGAATTAACTACATGAGAATCATTTTTAATTAATAAAGAAATCTATTATTCTATTATTTTTATATACTTTTCTTCTGTTTTGCTTGTATTATTTTTTTTTTTTTTTTTTAGTATTATATATATATGAGGTATTTATATTTTCTATTATGAGTATATTAGATAATTGTAAGGAAAAAAATAATAATGTTGGTAGTGTATGTGAAAGCAGTATTAATGATATAAAGGAATGTAAAAGTATAAGTGATATTGTTAATTATATTGTAACATTAGGTGTATGGGAAATGTATACTTATGAATGGATATTTAATAGAAGAACATTTTTATATTACAATACTCTATTAGGAAGTTATTATTTCTATGATAAAAATAATAATTTGATTTTATTTAGCGAAAATTCTTTTTTTTTTTATGTATACTCATTTGAAAATACTGAATTTATATCCAATCTATTTTTTAAAAAAAATGAAAAAAAAAAAGAATTAAAACTAACTAGCTATGCAAAAACAATGCAAGGAAGGAGAAAAAAACAAGAAGATAGATATATTATTGTAACTGACTTAACTAAATATATTGATTCAAATGATTATAAAACATTATTTTTCTATAAAAAAAATCCTCTATATTTTTTTTCTATATTTGATGGGCATAGAGGAATAAAAGCTTGTGAATATTGTATGAATAATATAATCAAAAATATTATTTATTACTTTTATAATCAAGATGTAATCGAAGAAAATAATGCTCCATTATATAATTTAGGATCCACATGTAATTCTCTAAATAATTCTAGAATAGTTAAATCTCAAAATTCTACTAGTAAAATTCAAGAAAAAGAAAAAAATTTTATTGAAAATACAAAAAAAAATGATTTAAATATAGATGAAAAAAATAAAACTCTTGAAATTGATTGTATAAATATAAATCATTTTGATAATTCAATCTCTAGTGTTAATGAAAATAATGTTACAAACAAAAATGAAGATAAATATGAGGAAAAAAATTTAAATAAAAATAAAGATGAAAATTTAATTAAAAATGAATGTTTAAGTATAGATGAAAGCATAAATAGAAAAAAAAGAAAAATTGAAAGAGAAGTTATAGAAAACAAGGAAAATTGTAGTATATCCAAAGAAAACGATATAATTAATAATGATAATAATTCCAGTAATATAAATGAAGGAAAAGAAAATTTCAAAAATTCAATTACACAAAATGAAGATGATAAAAATTCAAATACACAAAATAAATGTAATAATAATAGTAATAAAAAATTAAAGATTTTAGATGATATGACTGATGAAGAAATAATAGAAAATATAAAATTAGCTTTTATAAAAACAGATGAGCAGTTCTTAAAGGTTTCAAAATTCCCAAATCATGGTTGTACAATTATTTCTTTAATAATTTTAAAGAATAAAATGTTTATAGCTAACTTAGGAGATTGTAGAGCTATTGGTGTCGTTAATTTAAATAACACTTTAGTAATTTAATTTTGTATTTTTATATTTGTATAAATATATATAATTTTAAGAATGTAGTATTTGTAGATGTGTAATATTTTTTTTTAGTTATGACAAAAAAAAAAGCTATAAATCTTTTTTTTTTTTTTTTTTTTTAAAAAAGCATAATTAATTATAAATTTTTTTTTTTTTTTTTTTTTTTCTTAAATTTTAATATATTTATGCTAATTGATCAAAAAGAAAACAGAGATTTTATCATATGACCATAAACCAAATGATCCAAAAGAAAAAGAACGAATAAAAAAAATGGGGGGAGATGTTATTTGCTTACAGAATGTTTATAGAGTTAAGGCAAATACGAAAAAGGTAACGAAAAATATGGAAAAAAAAAAAAAATAATATAAAATAAAATTTATATTTATAAATAATAATATATAATAAATATGTTATAAATAGAAAAAATTGTATATTTTAAGTCATTATTATCTTCTCATAACATTTATATATATACATTTTGAATAGGATAATAATGATAAACCATGTTTAATGGAAAGATTAACTATGAAAGAGGAAGTTTATCTTGCAGGTAATTACTGTTAATGTACAAAATGATTTTCTTAAAAATTTTATACTATTTTATATTATTGTTGTTATATTTTATTATTATTATATCAGTTTCAAGAGCTATAGGAGACAAAGATTTTAAATATAATAATGTCATATCAGCAATGCCTGATGTTATGTGTAAAGAAATATATAAGAATGATTTAAATGAAAAAAGTGTAGACATAGAAAATATAAAAAACACTGAACCAGAAGTTAAAAATCAGGTAGATGAAAATTATTTTAAAGAAAATGAAAGTACATATTATTCTTCAGATGAACTGAATTATCATTTTGTTGTTATGGCTTGTGATGGTGTGTGGGATACATTGTCTAATAAGGTATATAAAAAATATATATGTATTAGGATAAATATATATATACTTTTAGTCCATCTATGTTTTTTTATATTTTATTCTTATATACTTTGCCTATATTATTTATTATTTTTTTTTTTTTATTTTTTTTTTTTTTTTCCATAGGATATTGCTCAAATATTGCAAACATATCAGCATGATCCAGATAAGGCATGTAGTGAGATAATTAAAACTGCATATGCATATGGAAGTCAAGTAAGGAAAATATATATATATACATTCATAGAAATAAATCATTTTTTTTTTTTTTTTTTTTGTTAATAAAATTTATATATATATTTATATATTTATATATTTATTTATATATAGGATAATTTAACTGCTATGTTGTTAAAATTTTATTGAATTTTTAATAATTTACAAATTGCTTATGGTAATATGTTTTCATACGTATTTTTAATTGACAAAGTTTATATTATATCTTTTATGTTTATAAAATAACTTAAAAAAAAAAAAGAAAATATATATAAAAAAAGCTACCTTTAATACATACATTATTAATAAATACTATGAAGAACTCACAGAAATAACCTTTTATTTATAGTTTTAAAGAATATTACATAGGTGGGATATTTATAAGAAAATATTTAAAAAATTAGAAGCTAACATAAAAATTAATAAATATGTTTTAATTTTTTATTCCATTATAATTTATTTTTATTTTAATTTTACAAAACTATTTAAATGGAAAAAATTAGATGTTTAAAATATATTAGTATCAAAATGGTTAAAAAAAAAAAATAACAAATAAAAAATACAAATTTTATTACTATATAAACAAATTATAATGAGAGAGTAATTTATATGTTTTGTTTCATTAATAATAAATACAATAAATTATAAAATATATATATATATTTATATATATATATATCTTTTTAAAAATTAATAAACTTAAAAATGGTCTAATTAATAAACATAATGTTAAAAAATAAATTAATTTTAAAAATTTTTCATGTACTTATATTTTAAAATGTAGTAAAAAAAAAATATATACTATTACAAATATATAGTTTTTTTTTTTTTTTTTTTTTTATTATTTTCTTTTAAAATTTGTATCTTTTTCAATTAAGCTTATATCTGTTGTTATACTTTTAATCTTTTATTATTATTTTATATTTATTTGTATTTTAATTTAAAATGTTACTTCTCCAATATTATCTTGTTAATTACAATATTTATAATTAATGTAAATTTTTTTTCATTCTTGTTTTATTTAATATGTTCAGGAAATGTAATTCATAAATCATGTTATTTTATAAAGTTTACTTGAATAATGTTATGATTATATAAACCTTCCATTTTACTAATTTATTTTATATTTTAATTTCATAAATTATTGAATTCCTTTTTTTTCATTTATGCGTAAATATGTGTTCATTGATTTAATAAACCATGTAAAAAAGTTTGTAATTAATGTATCTGAACGATAATCAGGAAACATATTTTGGTAAACCATTGGATGTATATCAGCTGAATAAAATGGAATTTCAAAAGAAAAATATTTCCATGAGCAAATAAATAAATCTCTTACTTTTGAAAGAGCTAAATTTAAAAACATTTGTATTAGTTCGTAATCTAAGGTAATTTCATAGTTTTCATCTAAATCATTTGTTATTTTTTTTTTCATGTTATTATCTCTGTTATCTTTGTTTAATTCATTGAATCTTGCAGGAGTAAACATTGTATAACCACTTTTTTCATCATGCTCATTATTATTAACATTAAATTTTATGCTATCATTATTACTATTGGAAAAATAATTTGTATTACCATTAGTGTTAAATTCAATATTACTATTATTATTACATTTGCCATTTGAATCATAAATTTTAATAGGTTCATATAAAATAACAAAAGAAAAATCTACCGAGATAAATTTATTAGATGATGACGGGATTAAAATATCATCAAGTAAAAATTCTATTGATTTATGATTTATTTGTGTACAATGTATTTTTATTATTTTATTAATATCTGATACATTGTCTAAATTTATTACCAGTTCATTATTTTTATCTTTTAAATTATTCGCTTGTTCAGCTAAAATGCAAAAGATAGATTTATCTATTAGTACCCATTGAGCTCTTGTTAATTTTTCATGAACTTTTTTAGCTTGTTCAAAAATTAAATTTTTTGGAATTATTTTTTTTGGGAAAATATGCTTCCATTTTTTATTTTTTGTACTTTTCATATTTTCTTTTAATTTTACATTTAAAGGAAATAAATCAAATTGAATAAAGTAATTATTTTCAATTAAATAAGCAGCTATTCCTTCAAATTGTACCGATATAATACTTGTATTATCTAATAATCTAAACATTCTCATTTCTTCTTCTTTAATTTTTAAACCATAATAACTATAATTGTTTTTATCTTCTATATAACTACTTTTGTTTAATTCTTTATTTTCATCATTTTTCGTGTCGTCATAATTATTTGTTTTGTTATTTTTTATGTTATTTTCTACGTTTTGGTTAGATAATTTATTTTCATTATCATTTATATTATTAGAATTATTTGTAATTGTATTATGTTCAGTCTCTAAACTAAAAACATATTTTTCTTTTTCATCATAATTTGGTACACCATTTACTCCTTTTGGTATCACTTTATCAACATGAATATCATTATTGTAAGTATTATAAGTATCATTATAATTATAATTTTTTTTATTAAAATTTGGAAATTCTTTTATTATTAAATCATCTACATTTTTTGTTTCATCATGTATGTTTTTTAATTTTACGTTATCTTCATTTAAATTATCTTTATTAATATTAGTAACTATATTATGTTCTACTTTAATTTCCTCTGGTTTATAATGGAAAGTATTTTCTTCTGTTTTTTTTGAGATTTCTTCATAATGTTTGATATCTTCGTCTTTTTCTAAATTACTTAATGAAAATGTAATATGTGCATATTGAGATTTAAAAGGAGAAAAGGATGGATGAGGAGGCCATGATAAAAATATTGGATTTGGAGAAAGTTTCCAAAAAACCGAAGGTAAAAAATAAAATTCTACAGATATTTGGGTTACATAAGGAAAATTACTATCAAGTTGCATATAATCTATTTCTTCATATTTTTTATTCATTATTTTCCAATATTTAATTAATTGACTTATGAAACATAGATAATATTTTTGTGTAATAATTCCATTAATTGAATTTATTTCTAGTTTCACATTTTTACATAAATTTCTTAACTTCTCTAAAAGTTGTTTTCTACTAGTTACAGATATACATAAATCTTGTATGTTTTCTTTTGAATCCTTATAATAATAACATTTATTCAGAGATAGATATTTCCTTCCTTTATCATAATTAAGAGTTCCCAATATCATATCAAATAAAACCATCAATTCTTTTAATTCATTTTCCACCAATATTCTATATTCCTCTCCTTTGTTCCATTCTTTATTATTTTTCATATTTTCATCTTTGCTTTTTATTTGATTAATTTTTTCCATAGCTGAACAAAACACTTGAGCATATTGATGTAAATTATTTTTATTTTCTTCACTTGGTATTTCTTCAAAAACACAAGAACCATCTGGTAAATATCTTAATAATCTATAATCACCTTTTCCATATGGTTCCATTTTTAAATTTATATTTTTAAATTCATTTTTTTCCAAATTTCCTTCATTTTTCTCTTCTTTTTCTCTACAATTCTTTTTTTCCTTATTTTCTTCTTTTTTTTCTTTATGTTCTTCAATCTGTTTCCTTTTTTCTTCTATTTCTTCGTTCATTTCTTTCATTTTTTTTTTTTTTTTTTTTTATTCCACAAAATAATTAACAAATTTTATTTCAAACTTCCTTTCTTTTTTTTTAATGTTTTTTAAATATTCATATGTTTATATATATTATAAAAATTCTGCAATACTATTATATAAATTCTTGGAAGCTAAAATTTATAAATTCTAAATATTAAAAATTTTATATAAAAAAATTAATAATAAAATAGTATCACTTTTGTATAAATTATACATTCAGAAGTATATAGTACAATTTATATAATTTTATTTTAGTTATATTAGAATAAAATATACATATTTATATTTTAAAAAAGTACAACATTTTTTATTATTAATATTCAAATATATGTATATAAGTATACTAAAAATAATATACTGTGTTATTCATTGTTTCATATAAAGAAAAATGTACCTTATTATAATAATATGATTTTAAAAATTATATATATATAGTTCATCATAGTAATATCTAATTTAAAAATAGTTGATATTTAAATTACATAAATAAAAACTTCATATTCAAACAACTAGGACAAAACAAAAGAATATTTTAAAACACTTTTTTAGACATAAAAAAAAAAAAAAAAAATTAAGATTTAATGAAATTTTTTATTTTTATAAATGTATTTTCATAAAAATGAAAAGATAATAAAATAAATATTCTCTTTAAATATAAAATGATCATAAATAAATTATTAGAAGTGTTATATGCTTTAATAAATACACATGTTTTACATATTTTTCTTTATATTTTATAATTTTATATCTATATAACTTTTTTTATTTATTTTTTTATTACTGTATGAATAATTCTCTGGATTATTAATCTAGAGATGTCAATTCATAATAATGTNTTGAAATAAATGTATTTTCACATTTATTTCGAAATCCACTACTTATTTTTTCTTTTACATTTTTTTTTTTTTTTTTTTTTTTTTTTTTTAGAAATAATAGAAAGCTTATATAATTTTATTTGCCGTTTTATTATGTATAGTATTTT